CAAACAATTCTCATCTTACAGACACGTATACATTCTTATTATCCTACTTTGACACATTTTCTTATATAAAAAAAAAAAATAAAAAAAAAAATAAAAAAAAACATATTTGTTTATTGTTGTCAAAAACAGAAATTCTATGAAACAAAACAATTCTTGCAACGAATAGTTTTCTTTCATATCTATATGATATGATTGAAAAACTAATGATTTCTTTTCTTCTTCTCATTGAGACCTTCAAGGCTAAAAATATTTTTTTATTATTTTAGCTAGGTCCAAGTGTCAAATTTCATTCTTGCTCATTATTATCGTTAATGACGAGAAGAGAAGAGAAGAGAAAAGAAAAGATCTGCGAAGAAAAAAAAACAAAAACAGAATAGATGTGTGTGTGTGTGTGTGTGTGTGTATGTGTGTAATTGTTTAAGAAACTAAGAGTCGTAATCAGAGAACTATATAGTAAGTACAAATGATACATATCCAAGAATAAAGATAATATTTTTTATTGTACAACTATTCTACCATTGGGATGTACTTTTAGGTGTGAGAAGTGAAATAACATATCTCTTTTTCCAAAACAACATCTGTAAATGTTGAGCATATATTGATAACTTGACTATGAAGAATTTTCGTTCCAACGGTGATCTAATAAAAAATTTCCCTTATTATTGGCAAGTGTAAAATAATCGATCTATTATTGTGTTTTTATGTACTGATCAGAAGAGAAATGTGATTAAAATAACTTTTCTAGTAGAAGTCTTGATTATTGAGAACGGAATTGTTTCATAGTTATAAATAAATGTTTGGTTAATAATAATCATCTAATAGTTGTTTCGTTGGTAACTCGATTCTTTCATTTATATTACCATCAAAAACAGTTTCTTGAAGTAAATCAAGTGAAGAAAGACTGTATTAAATAAAAGTCAATTTAGTATTGTTGTAACATGTCACAATTGACACGACACGTTGTATATATGTGTGCACTAGTTATCATCGACAAATCTTGTATATGATGTAAATAATAGTTATTCAAAATTTTATGCTTAGTTTAGTAGATATAGAATATTGTTTTATTAGTATCAATCTCTTGCTTTTTTTTTCTCTCATCTTCTTATACTAAACTATGTTAATTTAACTGTCAAAACTGACGCCATATCACTCAATAAATAGTCACAAGAAAAACAGTTTTACACGTGTATTAAATTCTTGCGTAAATAATATATATCACATGATATGGTTTACTTTTACTATTATGTATGCTTCTTATAAGAGATACCAATCCATATTTTACAATGTATCTCTTTTAATCAATTAAGAAGTATCTCGTTTGAAAACACGAATATATTGGTAAGAAATTGCGCTTCTCAAAAGAGATACAATTATAAATATGGAATCTTTCATTTCTCAAAAGAGATACATTATCTCTCATTTCTATATTCCAAGTAAAAATAAAAATAAATATAAGGTAGAAACAATCGGGATTATCTTAAGCGGTAATTAGTATTTCCGATGTTGGTTTTCTTTGAATAATATGGCAGAAGTGCTTTTTTGAGTTTGCTTTTGTATAACATCCATGATAATTTTCTGAAGAGTGAGACAACATTGTTTTGAACACTATTATTTATACCCATATCGAAACAATGAAATTTGAACTGTACAGCAGTACTGAGCCTTTTATGAAATCCTTTTATCTTCAAGATCAAGCCAAGTCGAATAGCGGAGTATTTTTGAGAGTGTCAGTTAGAGCACTAAATAGTACCACCGCTTAAGACAATCTCGATTGCTTCTGCCTCATCTAATTTGATGTTTATTTTGAATATAGAAATGAGAGATAACGTACCTCTTTTGTACCACCAAAATAAACGTTTCTCAAAACAGATACATTGTAAAATATGAATTTTGTGTCTCTTATGGGAATATATGTTGTATCTCTTTTGAAACGTAGTCGTATGAATTGATGCTCAAGTATCGAATAACCGAAATAGAGGAGTATATTTTAAACATTCTACATTACACGAATCATTAAATACATCTGTTTCTATTATGCACAATGAATTTACTTCACGCTATAGACATTTTAATAATGAATTAAGTTTAATTTTAATAAATCTTAGAGAAAAAGGAACAATTTAAATAGTTGATCAACAAATGATATCTCTGTTTATTTTGAACAATCCTGAGCAAAGGGGAATACACTTTAGAATAGCATGTACACTTTTGTGCTTGTTCGACAAGGGTTCCCAGGGTATAATATTAATGATGATAGCGTGCTATTGAAAAAAAACGTACGGAAATTCGGCTTGTCTATCGACGGAAATGCATGTTCAGTAAACGAAGGAAGAGAAATGATACTTTGACAAAAAAAATTTTTTTTTTTCTTTTTGTTGTTGTAATAGTTGATGATATGCGTCTCGTAATATACGAAGCACATTGTTAAAAATTGTAGTATCTGTGAACGTAAACTGAAACAAAAAGAGAAAAAATTTCTTTCTCATGTATAAAATTGATGATTGTCTCTTGAAGAATAAAAGACGGATGTTATTCAATTTATCTTCACTTGTTTTTATAGACCATTTATTATTGTGCATTTTTTGTTTATTTGTTGTTTTTTTTTATTTATACTTGTTGATATTTTAACTAATAATCAATAATAAGAAGAAATAATGCATACAAGAGTTAGTTACGTAATTTAATAAACTATTTTATTTTATTTTTTAGTTCAAATATCTATACATTTTTATGTATTTATATTGCGTATTTTTAAATATGCAGAAAATCGATTATATATTCTGATTGTTATTAAAAGAAAAAAAAGACTATCTTAAGTTTTATAATTGATTTATGTCAAATACAGTGTGTTACATACACATAAAGAATCGGTACCAGTAAAATATTTTCTTTAATCAACGATAAAATGATAATACTATCAAAGAAGACACATAATAACTTTTGCTTCTTCCAGTTTGTATCTATTTAGAGTCAGAGAGAGAGAGAGAGACAAAGATATTATCAATGAAAGTATAATTATAGTCGACTACCTCAAAAACCTTAAAGAGAATGTAGTTTTAAAAGGTGGCACGCTAAATCTTTTTATTCGATTCGAATAGAATTCTTGTGGATCAAAGATCATCATACGATATACTATGGTAAACATTTCAGCTAAAAATTGTGAATTAGAACAATATATTTCCATTTGTTGGGTAATAATTACAAAGATAACGTTTGTTTTTAACTGAGATAAATAGACATCTAAATCTAAAAATTACCCATTGTTATTTTTAAATTTTCCTCTTCGTCGTTCTTTTGTGATTGATTTCGAGTTGAGAATACAAGAATGATCAGTATCATAGTCTGAAAAGTTCTGTTATTTTCTCCAGAACATGAATGAATTTCAAAAAATCCTTACTATCAATCTCTGAATAATTTTACCTGTATAAGAAGGAAAAAGTTTTGATAACGTATTGCTCTATTCTTGACAAAAATATAACTTATTCAACAAGAGCAAAGCTAATCTCTCTCATGAGAAGATACATCGTGTATTTATTAGGACTTGTAGAAGAATGTACTTAACTTTCTAATGCGAAGTTCCATCCAGCTGTACCAGCACTTATTGAAAACTTTTCTCTCATTAAGAATAAATTAATAAAAACGTTGTATTTTAGAAAATTTTTGAGAATACCTTGAAAGAGTACTTGTCTAATAGAATATGATAAAGATTGTGAAAGTAGACAACTTAGATAAAATGTTGGGAAGTTTCAGTTGAAAAGCAGATTTGTTTTTGTAAGAGAAGCCCTACAGGCATTAATTCTTTATTCATTTTCTCACGATACTAAGTAGATAGCTAGTTATCAACAGTTCTTATTTTTTTCTTTCTCTGTGCGTGTGTGCTGTATCTCTTTTTAGATAGTATAGTGAAAGATTATTCTTTTTTTTAATCGGAAAATACTTTCGAAACATTTACTTTTCAAATATGTTAAACACATTCACCTTCTTACTATAAAATAATACAGCATCCAAGATGAAGAAGGAATTAGGTTTCCCCGAGTAAAATATAATCATTGCAGAACTTATGATGTCGAAAATTGATCATTTTTAATGTACTGTCAGATAAGGATGGCCCTATATCATCATTGTTCCAATTAGTCAGTTTTATTTCTTGAAGCCAAAAATAGAGTCAGTCTGTCAGACTGAGTTTTATTATCTATAAGAAAAAAATAAAATATTTGTGTAAATTGCTAAAATGTTTTTTAAGGCGTGTTAATAGAATCAACACACATTTTCGTAGAGATTAGAAATTAAAAAAACACTGTTGAAAAAGATACTCTGATGATTGCTCATATTTTCTTTCTATAGCTATTGTTTAAATAGAAAAAAAATCAATGCCTTTAGTGTTATGTCTATTTCCATTTCCATTTTACCTTTTCTCTCTCTCTCTATCTCTATCTCTTACGTGTTTATGACATACACTCACCCACCTATTTCCGCCATTCATATGTCTCATTTCATTATAGGAGAACTAGAAGTGTTATATATTTGAATACCACACTATGAAAAACTAAAAATAAGTTTTTCGATATTAATAAGTTGATTAAAGTTTACATTTAAGATATTTATCGTTTATTGATGTTATAGTACTATTATTATTGAAAAATACAGCTAATCTTATCCAAAATCCATCGAATTTATTGTTGATTTCATAAATATTTATCAGTTGATCGATTGATCAATTTATTAGTATACGTAACCAGTTGAATATTTTTCATAAGGTATTTTTAATGCAGTTTTATTTTATTTATTTATCATTTTAGATAATATGCTCATCTGTGACACATTCCGGTGATTAAAATAAAAAATATTCTATTTATTTTATTCTTTTAATGTTCATATTTAATTTATTTCTTAAAAAAAACGTTCAAACGCAATGGTTTTCCTACTGTGATATTGGACTGGATTAGTGGTAAAATTTATTTTGTACATAAATTTGTTATTTTTATATTAAAAATGATATGAGTGTCTTGCATATATTACCGTCTGTATTAAATTTGACACGAGATGAAGAAGATGAATTATTAAGAAGTGTTGTTAACTTTTTGGGACATCAACGTCGAGAAAAATTTGCATTTCCATTACTGGTTACACTATATTCATTTATATTTGCTACTGGATTAACAGGAAATTTTTGTAAGTTAAATTTGATTTTCTTATTATTCTATCTTATAATAATATAAGTTGTTTTGTTTCTTTAGGCACATGTTTTATCATATGGAAAAATACCGATATGCATACACCAACAAATTTCTATTTATTTTCATTAGCCGTTTCAGATTTACTACTCATCAGCTTAGGTAATAATTTATTAAAACGATCTGACCACGTAACTTCACTACCATCATGTCATTCTGACACATTCTTTTGCTATTTTTTATTTTTTCTATAATTATCGAATGAGGATACGCTCTGAAAACAAACTAGCATTCAAATTCTCCTCTTTTTGACCTCTAATATCGTGCAACCACCATACATTTTCTTTTTTCTTCCTCCTACCTATTTTTTAACAAATCAAACGCATCTAATTCTTCATCATGTGATGAATTGTTAATACAAATAGATTATACCAAATGATACAAAATAATCTAAACTTTATCCAAATATAGACGATTTCCTCTTCTTTGTTACCATGTATTCCTGTTTTAGCTTTTTCATTAGTCTTTTATATTTCTCATTGTTAATTTTCATCACTCTCTAAATTGTACGTATAATGCGATCCAATTTTGTACAATGGAGTGAATAAAAAAGATTGAATGAAAAAAAATAGTGCTCTCTCGGAAACGGAAAGTAGTTAAAAAAACTCTTTCGGAAACCGTTTTGAGTTTCGGAAGTGACTTCAAATACTGAAAGAATATTTACACAGTTAAGGATTTCCAACAATTCGGTAACTCAAAAATTGTTGGAAGAAAATATTCAAAAACAGAGAAGAATATTCTCCGAAACTGAAAGAGTATTGTCAAAAACCCTTGTCAAACATCAAGCTTCATCAAGGAATCGAGAGGTTATCCTAATATATTCTTTTCTGTTCTCGAGTACACTCTCTTCGGTACCCGAAAATGTTTCTCCAGAACGCTTCGGCTCTGGAATCCTTTATATTTCAGACAGAACCCTTTCTTTCAATTTTTTCATCTATGACGCGAGGTTCAATTGCATTATAAAAAGCAGATAGTCAGAGTATCTGTGATTGTTCAAAAATTCAGTGTCATTTTCTGATAACCCTCCATCTCCCAATTTGCTGCAACTTACTCTCCAGTATACACGTTGCATTTTATTTTACTCGATTTTGTCTTCGAGAATGCAATGAGGAATTTTGTTTCGATATTTCCAGTATACAACAAACCTCAACAATGAAGGTTTTCAAACACGCTCTATCGAATGGTCGACTCAGAATTTTTTTTTGGCAAAGAGTGTTTTTTCTCGAATTTAAGTCTCAGACTAAATTTTTTCAAAACCAGCGTTTTGTTTAGAAATGTATTGTCTGACGCATGGTTAGATGCAGCTTTTTGCACTGATTCTCGAATATCATCTTACTTTTTCGTACGGGTGCTAATCGAATTTTATCTGAAAAACCAAGGTTTTTGGAAAACTCGCCCTATGGCATAGAGCAAGAACTGTATAAAGCCGCATTCACAATAGATGCAGGATACAAAGAGGAACATTTTGGTGTGGTTTTGATTAAAAATAAAGTTGCGGAAACCCATTTATGCGAAAAATTACCTAATTAGAAACGTGTTTTTTTCCATCGGAAGTATAGGTCCAAAAGAAAAGATATATTTACTAAAAGATAGGTGAATATGATTCTTTTCTGACTTTAAGCCACTTGGACTTTAAAGAAAACCGAATTTTTTCTACAGGCGAGTATTTTTCAGTTAATTTTTGATCATGAGTTTTCCGACGATTCAAAAGACTTAGAATAAAAAATTTTAGAGCTTAGCTTAAAGTATATTTATTCTTGTTCAAGTCAGAAAAAAAGCGCACTTTCGATTTTTGGCCAAATGTCCCGATCGTTGTTCACTGTGCAATAGTTTGGTACTCACTAATAAGTTCACTAAATTTATCTTAAAATGGAGAAGATTTTTTTAGTTAGCATACGAGCAGTTTTACTCAAAAGAGATCGTGAAATCATCTTACATACATATATGTGTCATCAATTACATACATATATGTGTCTTACCTATTTTTGTTTTTTTCTCCTTTTTTTATGTATAGATCTTTGTTGTTGAAAAACAATTGATAGAAATAGCATACACAAGTAAAGACGATATCATTTGCTCCTTCTCAGTTCTAGCCCAAACACTTTTAGAAGAAAACAAATCTCTCTAGGACTGATTTAGCTTAAACAGTGTTAATTCCTTATACTTTTACATCTACTGAAGTATGATCAACAACCGAAAAAACCCAAATAATTACCTGACAGGGGTACTCTCTCTACAAGAAACGGTTATCTTATTTCCGAACTATGCCAAACAATTTGTCGCTTGCTAAAAAAACGAAGTAGAAAATGAAACAATTCTTACTAGGATGTGAAATATTTCTGTCTTTTGTTTTATTTCTAATGAGTAATAAATAGAAATTCGCATTGAGAAGGAAGATGAGTTAGAGGAACAAACTCCTTCTATGAAACAATTAATGGATGTCAGTATATTATACAGATCTATTCGAAAACATTTTGTTGAGGATTTTCGAGAAAAAAAATGGAATGAAATGAAAAAGGATTTAGGAGAACTTGAAAACCCATTTCGTGGAAACGGATAAGCGTTTCATATAGTTTCATTTTCGAAAATCTATTTTCTGAGAATACTCTTTTCGTAGAGAGAATGATCAAATTTAAAAAAATGAATGTTATATTTTTGGCACATTTTCTAAACAGAAAAACCGTGTAAGATGTGGATACGTCTCAGATATTCAATCTAACACTTTGCAGAAGATTCAGCGTATGCTCATTCAAAAATTATAGAAAAAATAAAGTACAAAAACATTCTGTGACTAAATGACATTGTTTAAGCAAGGTTACATGATCATCTGAGGTAGATTTTTCTAATTCAGCAAAAAAACTGTCGTTTACTATTTCATAGGTCTATCTGTTGAAATGTATAATATTTATGAATCATGGCCATGGATATTTGGTGAAGCATTTTGTGTATTTCGTACTGTCGTATTAGAAATTGTTACATCTGCTTCCATTTTGACTGTGTTATGTTTTACTGTTGAACGTTATTTGGCAATATGTTTTCCAATGATATCACAAAAAGTTCTAGGAGGTTTAAGACGAGCGTTGAAAATGATTTTAATTGTCTGGTTTCTATCTTTTCTATTAGCCGTACCATACACATTCACTGCTGGTAATTATCAATATTTCTATTATACTTAAGTGCATTCATTGTTTTATTTATTTTTTTATATTTTCAGGCGTTTTTGTCAGTGTATCAGCTGAAATTCGTAATCAAACAGTACAAATTTTAGATAGTCGAATATGTGCTATTAGACCAGAATATTGGGAGCCAATGTTATATTATATGGCTGTAACAACATTTCTAGTGTTTGTCATCCCGATATTTGTTATAAATGTGCTTTATATTCTAATGGGCATTACATTATATAAAACGAGTCGAAAACCAATACATAAACCAAATCAAGCTACCGGTGAAATTTGGAGAGATAAAAATATTTCTATGATAAAATCAAGACCAAGAAATTCAAGACGAGCAGTATTAAAAATGTTAGGTAAGATTATATTTATATATATATAAATCATATAAAAAAAATTACGCAATATATTTTCAAACACTTAAAATATTTTATTTATTTATTTAAGTGGCCGTTGTTATTGCATTTTTTATATGCTGGGCTCCGTTTCATACTCAACGTATATCGGCATTTGTGACAAGATTATTAGATAAAGCAAATAAAAATCATACATCAGACGCGGCAACAAAATTTCAAGAAATACTCTTTTTTACATCCGGTAGGTAAAACTATTTCTTTTTTATTTCATAATAATAATATTTAATGTGTTGAGTTGACAGTTGTAGAAAAATAGATGTGTGATGCTTGAATTTAATGAATAACGAAACGAACAATATTGTAAAATAAAAATTACTAAAGGAAATAAAATACAGAATATTGAGTTTAATTTTAGTTGTTAAATGAGGCTTTTATCTTATTATTTTATTACGCAGTATCATGTTTTTTAGCATAAAACTCTATAATTTGATGAAATATATTATTATTAATGAAAATATATATATTTTGTTTATTAGCATATCGTTATTGAACAGTTTGATCAGAGCATACTTTCTCACGGTGTCCTCTCAGTTCGCTCTAAATTGACTTCTTAATTCGTCCCATGAAGCTTTTTTTCTCAGTTCGTCCCAACTAATTCGCCCTAAAAAAATTTTTCTCAGTTCGTCCCATCAACACTTCTCTCTCAATTCGTCCCAGATATCTATGCTCGCGCCTAAAAGTAAATAAAGTGTTGTATCGGCGAACAGTTTAGATGACGAGGATGGGCATTCTAGACAATACTACTATCCGTTTCAAAATACAATATACTTGGTTATTTTTTGAATAATTTTTTATAGAAATGAGATAGAGATCTGCGGTTTTTAGCATCACATAGCGAAGACCTGAAGCTGTAAGAATAAAAAATTTCCCTGATAGGAATATCATCTGCAGGTGGTAGACTGCACTAATCTTTGAAAGATAAGGTTGCTAGAAGACCAAAAAGAAATGATTTTCATATCCCGAGTAATGGATTCGTTTCTACAATTCTACACAAGTCCCAAATCTCTAGTTCTTATGATCCCGGAACTTTAGACATTCTGCGACGACCATCCTATCTCGTAGGTGCGAGTGTGCGGCAAAATACACCATGTTAGCCACTACTATTACAAATTTGAATCTAAATAAGTTAAACTGTCTTGTTCATCAAAATGCTAATTTTCATCATAGTGGGTATCAATACACCAAAAAACAAACAAATAAAATAAATAATCAATGAAATGGAATTAGTTATAAAATGCGGTAGAGCAGTTAAAACCATCCAAATTAAAAATAAGACATACTATTGCTGTTACCTTTTCTTAAAATAATATAAATATATTAAAGGTAATTTTAAGTGTAAACTAATATGGAATGAATTGAGAGAGAAATGTTGATGGGGTGAACGGAGAAAAAAACGTTTGAGACGAATTAGTTGGGACGAACTGAGAAAAAAAGCTTCATGAGACGAATTAAGAAGTCAATTTGGGATGAACTAAGAGTAAAGCCTTTCTCACAATAACTAAACAATGCTATAACGAACTTTTCTTCACTAAAAAACAAAAGCTGAAAACAAGAAAATATCGGCCTAATTGCTTACATATCATTCATTCTTTATCAATGTTAACTTTGTAAACACAGTGCCGTGTTGGAATTAGCATCATATCTTTTTCTATAATGTTTTGTATAACTAAAAGATTTTTTAATAATATTTTTTCTTCACAAAATATTAGAACAATATTAAAATTAATATTCACTGAGAATATGAATCAAAATAAGTCTTTACAATGTGAATACGAAATATACTATCGGTTTAAGTATTTCTAATTTACAAGTAAACTAAAAACTAAATAAAACAAGTGATTGAAACACTATTGTTTGAAAATAAAATATTTAAATATCTTTTGTTTATTTAGGTATACTGTACTATTTGTCTGCTACAGTAAATCCTGTTTTATATAATATTATGTCCAAACGTTATCGTAATGGTTTTAAACGTACACTGTGTCGATGGTCTATCGCTACTCAGGCCATATCTTATCGCCCAGTTCGAACAAATACATTACACAATAGATCGTACGATCATCTTAATGGAATCGGAAATCATAATGATAACTACAGAACGTTTCATCAAATGAAATTAATTCAACAATCTCGTCCTAATCGTTTATCTTGTCCAACAGTGAATACTGTGTTGAAACAACATCCATTACCCATATGTTATTCTAATACTCAAACAAATAAAACAGCATTAATTACGCAACAAAATATGCAAAATGGTACAACGTGCACTATGCCAGCATCACCATCCATTTATCATCATCCTTATTCAGAAATAAATAGTCAATCACCTCAACGACAAATATCTCGACGAGATACACTATTCACATTTTCAATGTCTAAATATAAATTTGTTATCGGATCAAGAACATTTAAATCGCATGATTTTCCGTCTACGTATATAATACCATCAACAAATTTACGTAACTCACGTCGATCTAAATCATTAAACAATCGTCGATGTAAATCAGAAAAATTTCGTTCATATCATTATCGCTTTTCTATTGAACCAAATCAAATATCACAACTGCGAAAATTTTCCATGAATTCTGTTGCTGATCGATCTAATCTGACTAACAGTAACAGTTTAAATAAACCTCCAAAACATTTTCCTCACACATTATTTACAAACACTCCACCAACACCGTTTAATTCAGCGTCATCACAAAATGGATCAATACCGTTGGATAATTTAGCAAAAATTCCGACAATTATTCCTCATTTTGCTATACCAAAACAAAATGACGGCGAGCATTCATCGTCGTCAGCTAATGGATCATTATTTTTAAAAAAATAATGAAATTTTGTTTGTTTTAATTCATTTTAGATTATTTTGTATGTATGTGTATCGTAAAACACAAATCCCTAGCTAAAAAAAGTGACTGTTTGAACTACCCTGATATAGTCATCTAAGACAATATACTGTTCGAAACTCTTCAAGCAAGCTTTCTTCAACAAAATCTACGGAAAATCTATATCAGATCTGTAAATAAAAGATTACAGATTTATTGTAGAATATAAACAAGATTGTAGCAGGAAATTCTTCATCTTTCATAAAGCTATAGATGCCATTAAAGTGTGTGTTATAATTGAGAAAATTCAGTTTATCATCAAGTACCAGAGATCGTCACATTTATTTTAGTTATGACCTATATACAGAGTTTTGTAGTCCTCCTCTATCAATTAATAAGAGTCTTAAATCTAGTATTCGTTCAAAAGTTAATCTAAAAATATCCATACCTTTTCTACTTTAAAAAACATTGTATTTAATTTGTAGGCATAAAGAGAGACAGAGAGGCATAATTATACTGAACTTATGTTACGTTACATAGAATTCCATCTGTCAGATACCCATAGTAATATCTTTTGCATTGTTATTAGTTGCGTTATACGCTAAAATGGATAGCAGTGAACATCATAAATATCAGATTTTCGTTTCTATGCACATTTTTAATGGTCCCATTGTACAATTTTTAATCTAAACGGTGGAGAATAATAACGGTTTGTAGATCTAAGTGATTTTCTGTAAATTGAATTTTTTAAGCATATTTTGTACTTTTGCCAGTGACTATCGACCGGAGGTTGAAATCTTCTTGAAAAGTTATGTATTCGTACGCAAAAACACAAACAAGTTGTTGAATGTAATGGCATTGGGCGATGCTTTTTCCTTTTTGGGGTAATTGTTTAAATCAAAGAATGCAAATAGTTAGTATTCCGTTGATTAAAAAACTTTCAGATGTAATCAAACTTCAGCGGTGAGTACAAATTTACATATCAATACGGCATAGAGGTGATTAAAAAGTATACCGATTCTTCCGTGAATGACTTTTCCGCGAATGAAATTTTTTTCACACTCACGCTCATGCTGCTTACTGCTACCGCGGAGAGTTATGTGATGTGTCTTGCCATTTCAAAATGTATTTTTGGAATACTTTTATGTGTTATTAGTACACGATCAATATCCGATGCATTGAGAGGGATCACATGTTCGATAATAATTAATCACTCAAACTCTTAATGTGAATGAATTTGAGCCTATATTATAGGCGATGGACATTCCACCTTCGAATAGTTGCTGTCAGAGACACTTGAAAGCCTGTAACATCATTGAATACTAACAATGAGAGTTGCATTTTATAGAGATCAATGTTACTTCCAGTTGTTTTAAGGGTTCTCTCTCAGAAATTCTCCGTCATCGTAAATTCGATCTTCACGAAACTTTCCATAAATGTTAGGCCCAATGAGTTATGAGAATGAAAATCTTTTTTTGTCTCCAAATCTTACCGTTTAAGAGTTTTCTAGAGAACAAGGTCCAAGAAAGACCCTAAAATATTTCCCAAAACTTTTTAATAAAGTTCAAGCTAGATAATTCGGATTTGTTTTATTTTAAACTAAGCACCTAACTACATCGACTGACCGGCGCCGATTTTTCAATTAAGTCTCTATTCGTTCTGTAGACAACCAACAATCTCAAAAACACGAAAAACTCTTCTTGGTTTTCTAGAAATCCTCAGCTTGACAAAAAACTAAGATCCAATTGAAAAATCGGCGCCGGTTAGCCCGGGTAGTTTGATGTCTGGTTTAAAATAAAACAAATCCGAACTCTCTAGCTTGAAGTATGTTAAAAAATCTTGGGAAATACTTCAGGTGTAACTTCCATGTAGAGAAAACACTGTGTAAGATGCTCAGTTTTAGGAGTTGTAGGAAAATGCTTGTAACTTTTTGACGCAACGTCATATAGCGTCGTGCGAGGTCTTATTTTGATCAGAAAAGTTTGCTCTACAAATCTACGCATTGGAAAGAAAGTTTAATTGCATAGGTATCCAGGAAAAAGCTATTATTTGGAGGCTCGTTTTTTCGAGGCTCCATTTATTTTGCTCTTTTTCGAAAAGTTATTGCAATAAAGCTACAAACTAATCTAAAATGGCAACTAGATGATTAAGTAGATTAGACATTTCTCTACAAAATGAAAAGTGTCTCGGCTTTGAACGTTGATTTGTCATGAAAATACAGCTGTTGTACAAACTATCTGAAAAGCGTATCTAAAAGAGTGAAAATGGGCTGGTAAACATTGAACAAGTATGCCAGTCTGTAGAAAATTGTTCGCTCTACAAAATGTGATAGCTTGTCAAGTTCGAAACTATTCTAATTAATCTGTATTAATCAAAGAAAAATCAGAAAAACGGTAACGCTGTGACACTTTTGACCGTTTTTTATGGACAAGTCGCATAAACCTTTGTGTGAAAGAGTAAACCGCGAAAAATATCAATTTGAAGTGCGTTTCTCATCGAATTGAGTGAATAATTTGACATTTTTCAAAATTTCATCTTGTAGACAAAAAAATTCTTGTATTTTTACTTGTTATATAACATTAAGAATTGTACAACAATGCGAGAATACATAAGAGAGAATACATAAGATAAGATACAATATTCTATATAGAACGTTTGACTATGTCATTTTGATCTCTATACACCGTCTTCACCCAAAGAAATCGAGCAGTAGTAGGCAGACACGATGACTGACATAACTTTTTAAATCAACAGATTGAATTCATCAGTATTAAAGTATTTTATTTTGAATAGCTCCATCAATCAGTAGATAAAGAGTAGGTGGTATTCAACAGTTTTTTTACAAGTTTAACTTCAACTATTTTACATGTATAGTGTTCAAATTTTTTATTTTCTCTTTGATATTTCTGACTTGCTTATCAGTTGCCAATATTTTACAACATCTTCTTTCAAACAAGTTAATATTTCTTCTTCACATTGTTGAATTGTTAAGCTTTCAATTTGTTGTACTAGAAATTCAGTAGTTAATTCCACACCATTCTGTTCTTCTCCAGTATATTTTGTAATTTGAGTACAATTCATTGATAAAACAGCATTCGCAATTTTTCTTTCAATTAATTTTGTACTAATAAGTTGAGTTAACGAGGTAATTAATTGTTGATATTTTTTTGAATCCCTATCATTATAATCTGTATGATAGTCAACTCCAAGTAAAATAATTTTACATTCCATTATTTCCTTCTCAACAGAAATTAATGATTGTTCAAAATATGTTAGTACGTCCGTAGAAAATACTTGAATCAATTGATCACGAATAACTTCACTTGAATATGTATCTTTAACATCAACAGTTACCTAAAATAAAATTTATATTATTCTATATAATAAATAGCATAGGTCTTAAGTTACTAATCTGACAATTTAGCATTATTTATTTTGATTCATGTGTGTGTGTGTGTGTGTATGAAAAGTAAATAAACAACTATTTAAGTCTCTTATTCTCACTGTCTTTTTCTCTCAACACACCTTAAAATGATCATTTCATAGAGAAAACAATGGACATGTTCAATTCTTTCTTCAGATCGTTGTGATTACTGACCGATGTTATTTTACGCACTATGAGAAACACAAACAATTAATTTCTTCTTCTTGTCTGTTGTTTGTTCAGTATTCATCAATTTTACTTATTTGATTTCTTTACTTTACAATTGGACTGGACATTATGTTTCTCTTTGTCGGATGTTGTGTGAATGTAAGTGAGAATAATTTAGTTTTAATAACTCACCTTAAATTCGACACATGGTTTTTTTTGAGCGGGTCCTTTTATACAATCTGATTTTTGTCTAATCCAAACTAATTTTGCTTTCAAAAATCCTTGTTCTAATTTGTCTATTTTCAATGCGTTTATAAGACCATTGACTATAATTTGTTCTAAATTACAAAATGCAAATGATGTTTGATCACCATATTCAGGTAGCCAATTTAATCCAATAAATGATCGATAATATTCGATTGTTGTAAAACTATAAGATGATAGACTTGAACGAAAAATTGAGAAAAGAATTAATACTTTTTCATTTATAATTCGACGACAAGCAGATAAAAATTGTAAACGAGTATCAGGTAGACAATCACCAATTATTTGAATAAGAATATCGTGATCTTCAATAGAAATTGAATATAGATTAGCATTATAGGGAGACATTTGACTATTTAAATTAAATAAATTTGATAATTGTTTATATGATCTTGATGTTTTATCATGATAATCTGGAATAAAATTATCTTTAGCATCTTTAATTCGAAACAGGATTATTAAATGAAGTAAAAAGTCACATCTGTAGTCAATTGGCGTCAATTTATCATGAGTAATATATCCATTTTTAATGATTAATCCAAAGATACTCTTTAATTGTTGTGTTACATAGATAGCACTATTGTTGTGTAATTCAACGAGTAGTTTAATTTTTGTTCCAAGTGAGGGTTTTAGTACTTCACATTTCCAACTTAAAAGTTTAATTGGTTCATCTAAATAGTAGAAATAATAAATATTAGTTGTGATATACAAGAAAAAGTAATCTTACTTATAAATCGTTTACTGATCTCTTCATTTAATATTGTATTAATATCTTGATATATTTTTGAATCTATTTTATTTAAATCATCAGTATATGTATGATTTTCAAATAATAATGTAAAAGATAAACATACGGATTGTGGCTTAATTACTTCTCCTGTACCAAAAATAGCTATTTCTGTATCATCTAATACTTTTTCTAACGCTTCTAGACATAATTGTTCAGCTTCACTAAAAGATAATGCAACAGAAGAAATCATTTCTATTGGATAAGCAAAACCACCAGATTCTAATTTTTCAATTGATGGTACTTTAATAAGACGAATAAAATCAGATTGATTTTCATTGAGTAGAAGAATACATTCTTTATAAATTAATGTTTCAAATTTTGTTAAATCAGCTGTTGGTGATTGTTTATATGAATAAAATCTGAAATTTCTTGAGACAATTGTTTGATCTACGAATAATACAAATGTATTTTTAACAGCCTTTATTGCTAATTCTTTAATGGTAGTATCATAACCATCTTGTATTACACTATAGGATATTTTAAATGATAATTGACCATCGCTTGCTTTTGTAATTCCATCGAGTTGACATTTCCTTAACACATCACTCTGTTCTGGAATACTTTCTTTCAAATATTCTTTTAATAAAAATATGCAATGTCGAGCAAATTCTATATATTCAGTAGAATTGGGCTGACTAAAACAGGTACGATAAGGTGCTGTTAAAAGAAATTCATAGTGTTGAATAGGCGAAGCTATATTATAGACAATATTTTGCATTCTTTTTGTAAATTTTTCATTATTCAATACCAATTGTGCTTCATGAAAATTCTCACGAAACATCATTTGAAATACTAATTTTGTACCTGTTATACCATCAGGAATAATAGCATTTAAACTACATTTTGTTATATTAAACGAACTTAATTCTTGTTTAATTTGAAATTCGAGTTCTGTTTTTAATTTCTTAAATATTTCGGATTTTTCATCACTATATTCTGGTAAACATTTTAGTGTGCGAATAATAGCGACATAATCCATTTGTTTCAAACAAATGTATGTTAAATCTAACATATTTGCTTCGCATAATTTTGAATTTGAACCGCATGGATTATGTTCACAAGGATCAATTGGCAAACACATACCTGATGTAACATTACGCCGATATTTTGGTTTACAATCACACTGAAATAGATAAATTATAAATAAAAATATATACAAATGTATTGAATAAAATCTTACATCATAAGAACTAATTGTATTTCGACATAATTCATGTTCTTTGCAGAGGGGTGGTTGTATCTTACATTCATCAATATCAACACATTTTTTTCTTACATCGTGCTCATATCCAGGTTTACAATGACAACTAAATATATTAGAATACGAAATTTTTTTCCGTTTTTTTACTACAATCAAAAATAGTATTATATCTTTATACTTACAGATAGCTTCCTACTATATTTTCACATATCGAATTTTCTCCACAACATTCAAACTTCGTTTTACATTCATCTTCATCTTCACAATCATCTGTAGAATTTTTCTTCGGTATAAATCCTTCTCTACACTTACACTCAAGGTGATAATCATCTTTTGGTACACATACTGAATAATTACCACATATTTTATCACGAGAACACAATAGTGGACGTCGTTTACATCCGTCGCCTGTTATTTTTGGCTCATAATCCTTGATACATCGACATTCATAAGCGATTTTACTAATATTATATACACTACTAGGATCTTTTGATATACACATTTGATTTTCACCACATGGACCTTGTTTTTCCTCGTGACGACATTTACAGTAGTAATCACGAGTCGAATTAATACGAACGCAGTGAGAATCTAATACGATGAAAAACCAGCATTTTTAACTCAGAATTAACGTTTAAAGACAAACGCTTTACCTGGGGGACAGATACATTGCGGTTGTTTACATGGATTTGTATCGACACACATTTCTCCTGTATCTAAACCCTCAAAGCCTTCTTGACAGCGACACTAGAATAAAATGAAGAAGAGAATATAGAATTTTGTTTTAGATCGGGTTTTCACTGTACCTTATACGTTCCTGGTAGATTAATACAAATGGAATTATTCTTGCATGGATTTTTCGGTATGCATTCGTTGACATCAATACACTTTATTTCGCTGACATTTTTATTTATAGGATCATTGATGTAGCCATACTCGCAAACGCAAGTTAATTCTTGATCACTGATCTGTATAATGTAACATATCATTAGAATTATACTTTCATCTTGTATACCTACATTTTTGTCTAAATACCTACCTTTACACATTTAGCATTTGGACCACATTTTATTTCAGTACATTCTTTTGGTCTTTTCACACAATTGCCCAACGAATTACTTGACTTAATATAACCGTCCGTACACAAACATTCATAATGTAAATATTCTGTTGTATTACTTGATGTATTTACGCAATAGGCATATTTTCCACATATGCCAACGTCCGATGAACCACAATAACATCCAAAATTATACAGGTCACACGTCTCCTGACAAACTGTATCCGTTGGGCATGGGTTAAATATACATGGATTTATTTTCTTATGCAGATAGCGGTCATACAGTTCATATAATCGATCCAAAATAGATTTTCCTGCGAAGTCTGTCACCAATTTTAAAACAATAACTAATTTGTTGTCATGGGATTTCAATTCAATATCGAATTTATCGATTAACGGGAAAAATCCGAATTCATTAATCTAAAGAAATATCAAGTTCTTCTCTCTTAATCGATCGAGACAGTTTTTAAAATTAATTATCATTCTGCCACAATTTGTTTTCCTTCCTTCCATAGCTCAGTCATAATAAAATAATATTAAGAAACGTTAGGCGTCATCACTTACTTACGGTTTGATAAAAACTGACTCACCGTTTTATTCTTTTTGTTGAGAAAGCAAGAAGGAAAGCAAAAAAGTAAGTCGAACCAGAGGGTCCTGGAAGGTCCCGAGCTGTTCGTTTTCTAATACTATAGAATTTGCAATCTTCTACTGTTCTTACTTGCAATCCACTTCAGCACATGGTTAATTTTCGAGTAACTTAGAAAAGGAGAGGGATAAAAATTGGTAGGTTTTGCCTCTTTGAATGCTGAAACGAAAGATGTGAAACTACCTGTCTATAAACAAATTAGACTCAGCTTTCTGCTATGGCATATCGTCTCAAACGAAATACAAGAGACTGCGATTTTTAGAATCGCACTTGACTTGTTATGCTAATAACATGCTTAGACAGAGCGACATTTGTTCTACTAATCGAGATCGCTAAAAAAATAACAACTAAAATGAGCTTATTCTTTGCTCAGCCTTTTTCAGAAGCGAAAATATGAAGTGTCCCGATACAAAAACCCATGAAGAAAAAGCCTAAAAATCAGACGAGCGCTCCTTAAGGGGGAGGAGTCCTCCCATTTAGATTTGTTTTAGACTTTGCCACAATGTAGAGGACACTTCAAAATATATATGGAAAGAGTTTGAGGGTTTACGGACTTGTAGTTTTCTAGAAAAAAAGTTTAATTGTTTTCGGCTCATATGTCCATTTTTAAAATTTAAATAAAATTTTTACTTTTCAGTTTGAAACCTCCCTTTTGTAACCAATCGACAGAGCGCATCGAGATGTATATGTGCAAAATTGTCATCATTCTCGAACAAGATTTGCCGGAGAAATTCGAATTTGAGCTTGAGAATGGGTTTTGAGGGCCAAAAGTGTGCGTTTTCGAGACCTTGCCTGCAGCTTCTCTGCGGGGAAGCATTTTGAAGCGAAAATATGAGTGTAGAAGTTATTTATCATGTTTTTCTATGAGATAATAGTTTGCTGTCGCTAAATTTCTTAAGGTTAAATGTCTTTACAATTGAAAATACTGAGAAAATACTGCATCGAGGAGAAAAGGCGCTCAAGTTTTTACGCTACTTTCTCTTTTCTTCAGAGCCAGAGATAGTGTTCAGAAAACCTTCAACCCATAGAACATTCACATACATAGACACAGACACTTTCACATACGGAATCGAATTGAAGTGTCAAAAAGCGAAAAAAATAAAGATTTTCAGAAATCTGTGGGAAAAAAAATTGTTCAGCATCAAAATTTTAAAAGATTTAAACTTTAAACACCAGTATTGTGGACTTTAAAACTCGAATTTAAGAAATTTTGAAGATTTCTTCGGTTGTTTCACGCAGAATTTGATGCTGAACAATTTTTGCTCCAGCACTTTTGTTCCTTAATGCTTTACTAAAATGAAACACTGCTCAAGGCTTTCTCAAAAATATTTTTTGCGCTAGAAATGGCATGGACAAATTAAAGTCAAGTTTCTCCGTCAGACTTCAACCGATAAAAATGAAAATTGTTTTCTATATAGATCTCAATGTGCTCTCTCTCATGACAGAAGATTCAGGGTTCCATCTCTAAAAAAATAAAATATTCATAGAAATTTTAAAAAGTATGCGAAAACTCAAAAGAAAAATTCCTCAAAAACTACGGATCCCGACACCGATAAAAGTCTTGAAATATATGTTTTAAAATGTGTTCTACAAATTGAAGGAAAAAAATGGATGGAAGGGCTTAAAATTAAAATATGAAAATGAGGAAATACTCTTAAGTGCTTGTATTTTATGTATTTTTGTACAGTATATAAACAAATTGTTCTTTGGGAAATGGAGATTTTTGCCAGCTAGTAAAGTATGGGCTTTTCTAAGCTGGCAAAGAATCTAATAGCCATAGAATTCAGTAACGTTTCTTGATAACTTACCATGTCGTTGAAATATGTTTTAATTGCATTTTTTATTCCATTTACATAGTTATTTGTCACACCATAGTCATCTTTCCAAGGAACACTGACAAATTCAAATTGATATGTTGCCTCTATTTTATAATTGTTGGTAAATAACAGCAGTAATCGACGTATAAGTAAAGTGTTTATAAATTTCAGTAGAGATGTTTCTAAAGAACCACTAATATCTACTTCAAATAATAAGTTTAATAAACCATCAGTAGCACTAATTGATTCAAATCTAATAGAAGTTACAGGATATACGTTTGCTAAATGATCCTTAGGTATTATCTGTTTTTCATCTGGATTTTTGCTCTTTTCAGCATCAGTTGACCATAATTGAAATCGATAAAGTTTTAATAAATAATCGCTAAATGCTCTTTCTAACTTCTCTTTGCTCTTTTGATCTAGATTATTTAGGCTTTTGTTGCCCTGTAGTGTAATATGAAAATACAAACGTGTTTGTACATAAATGGTCACATCGCTATCATCTCGCGTTTGTGTACAAACACGTATACCTTGATAAATAATTTTAAGTATTAAATCATACGAACGTGTATTTGGTACCAATTCTATTTGAAACATTAAATCTTCATTATTTTCAATTGTAATATTTCGAATACTTATAACTTGCATTTCGTCTTTTGCTATTTTTTTTAAACTTTTTAAAGCCTTTTTATAATAAGAAAGAGAATCTTTATCTAAATCTGTTAAATTACATACACGATAATCGATGATCATTTTTTCAATGACTATGTCTGCAAAATACGAGGGAAAAAAAAGTTTATTATTCAGTTTACAATCGATATAACGTTCAAATATTTTTGTTAGACGATCATGTAATGTTATCAAACTTATAAATGTTTGTGGCGTTGGATCACCAGTTAAGTTTATTTGTATAAATAATTTAAATTGTTTTAAATTAACTTGTTCAACAGCAGTTAACTGACATTTTTCAACAGTTTTATCAGCATCTTTTTCATACCAATTTAATGGTAACATTGTCACTTCATTTGTGATACTTTCATACAATGGACTAGTTTTAACAGAAGAATCACTATGAAACAATTGATCGAATGTTAAATATAAATAACCTACAGTTGATAAACTGTAATCCTTTTCAGATAAAACAGTGTTCATCTTTTCATTAACAACACGTAACAAAGTATTCTTCATTGACATTAGCATAATTGCGACATTGCTTCGAGGTAGACTCAATTGAACAATTATAATTACACCGTCTTTATCCGGTTGTTTTTCAATACTAATTAATTCTACTAAGAATAGAATATTATTATATTTTACTGATACAAGAATTGTTAATGTTGATTTTAAACTTTGCTCAAAGTCACGAAAAAATTCTCCATTTTTCACTTTCCATTCATCATTATATTTGACGTTAGGAATAGTCAATATATATTTAACACGTTCTATAGTAATCTTCTTTTGCTGTTGAATATATAAACTTTCATCATGCCAATTTCGTTCCGCACTAGGTAGATCTTTACCATGTACGAGATCTTTACCAACATTTATCATTTTTCCATTAACCATTTGCAAATCATTTTCAGTTGGTGCATTTTCAGAATGATTTTTTGGACGTCGATTATGTTTCAATAATTTTTTTACATCTATGCCATGACTTTCTAAGAGATAAATCGGTATACACTGATCCGAGCAGGTAACTAAAAGACAAATAAGTTAAACATCATTTTATAACATAATTCAATTGAAGTAGAATTCATGTAAAGTCAATTGTTTATTGAATGTGAACTTCTTTATATTTTACATTAGATCGTGATTGACCTCAACGTATTCTCGACGATGATATTTTCAGTATTGATTTACTTACCTACGTTTTGACCGTTTTGATATGACACCGAATTGATCGAGGACTTGTCAGTTTTGACTTTGGAGCTAGGATCCCTCAACAAATTCCCGTTACCAGATTTCGAAAGCAAAACATCGTCATGTTGTTGAAAGAATGTTAGTTCGGGAATAATATGTTTATTAGGATTTTTTATTTGATAAAAGCTGTTGGAATCTGGGTATTCCGCAAACTGTTCGTCAGTTTTTGATAAATCTCCATTGAAATATACATTTTGTTCTTTACCGTCAGATCTGGAAATTGTTGGTCCATCCCGAGAAATTTGTATGGATTGTTCTTTAGCAAATGCAAATGGAATAAGATACAATAGTAAAAATATTTTCTCACGCATAGTCGATTGATGAAAGTTCTAAAATGCTAACGAATAACATGTTTTGCTTTATAGAATACTCGAGCCATGTGTCTCAAAACATAATCATTTATTAAAAATCTATTGAATTGTGTCACATGCCTTAAGGCTTATTCTTTAACAATTTAATGGATATCAAAACCATTAGCGTCAGAACAAATCACAATTAATTTTCAATAATTCTTTTTAAATTATAGAAAAATAAATGAAATTCGAATTGTGGGGTATAGAGGTCAATGTTTTCAAAGCAAGATGCCAATAAAAATTCTAAACATCAAAATGAACATAAACAATCAGACATAATTTTAACATGTAACAGCTTCTTTTTGTCATCCTATCAATTCACCATCAGGTATTTTGAACGTAATTTTACACCATCGATACTACTGACTAAACTTTTGCGCGTGAAGTAAGATATATATATTTGCTTCTGTTTAAAAATGACGGAATGGTGTTGCTCAGTGGGCATTTTTCCATAGAGGCCGGACAATTGGTTTTATGAATTAAAAAATGATTATTTTCGCATAATAAAAAATATCGTCTTATTATGTGTCAAATTTTAATACAAGTAAAGTCAAATCCGAAAAAAAGTTCTTTTTCGATGAAAAAGCCCTGAGACTTGCGCTGAATTTTTGTCGAACAATTTTTTATTTGTAAAACTAATAAGTGATACATCACTCGATGCAAGTTTTCATGCTGATTATAAATATCACATGCTTTTGTATGGTGCCGACAATGTGAAAATCGAACAGAACTTTTTTTCTTTTTCTTTGTTATGGTTGGGTAGATTACATCGAATTGCACAGGAAAGGATGAATTTTAGATTTTTAAAACTCACTTTTGGGAGAAAAAAAATTAAAAATACTGCTTTTTTTAAAACAGGCGAGTGATTTTTTCAAAAATAAGGACAATTTCTGATGTAATGTTTTTTTAAAATTCGAAAACTCCTTTTTTAAAATTCATACTCTGTATAAAACATTGACTTTAGCATTTTTGGAAGCTAAAATGCCGGCGAAAAAGTCAGAATTTTGCTCGTAATTCTCAATTTCCTCTATCAGAACCCAACTTTTAAGCAATAGGAATATCATATTTGGAATCAAGATCAAAAACTGAGTCGACTAATGTGTATTTCTATCCTATCTGACTACTTTAATGTTTGTCGAATTTTTACGTTGAAAAATTATCGAGGTTTTCATCCAAAACTCAAAACCAGCTAAAATTTCGAAATAAAAACGCTCTTTTCTAGTCGTCAAAACTTTACCGTTTTTCATGCACTGATACTAATACAATTACCACCACCATCACCAACCAACCGTCTATATTCAAAAGTTGATTTACATAGCAATCGACAGCGTATAAAGAGAGGAATTGGTTGCATATATTTCTGTTAGTTAAAAGTGGATAGTGTAAGGAAAAAAGCTTTACAGTTTTACCGCCCTTCTCGGTAAAAGACAATATTTTGTTAGTCATCCAAAAAAAAGAATATAGGCTCTGAAATTTTTTCTGATTAAGTAGTTGTAAAGAGCATGACTTGAAGTATACGAATATGTGCTTAGATACCGTCTACGTCCCTTGTTGGTAGAGAAAAATGATTTTCAATAAAGCTTAAACAAACAAACAATGATTTTCAGGTTGACCTTAATCGAAGGTGGTGACCTTAATGTGCCACCTCTACCGCCCAAGGGTATAACTTTAAGCGAATTATACTTTTATTTTATGGATCGTAGCCATTCGAATGACATAAGACACTTGGCTTGATCTCTTCATCCAAAAAGCTAAATAAATCTACTCTTACAAAGTGACGCAAAAGTACTTTCGGTTCGATTAAGCAGCACCAACGACCTAACTTTTACTTCCAAAAACTTGTTTCCTACATTCAGCTTCTAGCGCTGAACGGCTTTCACAAAATAAAAACAGCAAGCAAACAAACACCATCAACAATATCAAAACATTAATTTTCATTTTGTGAAGCTCCTTAAGTGTATACGATTTCTCATGTAAACAAGCTGCGTCTTAAAAAGACGCGAAATAACGCGCCTGATAAAGTTTTCTGATAATAAGACACGTAACTTTATAAAAAATGTGTCATAGAAACAGTGTCCGGACACTTTTCTCTGTGTCTGGTGCAGTCTGCATTCATAAAATTTGCATCATTTTGTGTTTTTCCTAGTCGACCTACAACACGTTTTTTTGCGAATAAGACGGGTTGAAATGAAATTAATTCAAACTTGTTAACGAATCCCGTTTCATCATTAAATGGATTAACCTGTTACTACTTGACTGATTTCTCAGTATTAACAACTTTGTAGCCAACTTTCCTTATTACATCGTTCGAAAAAGGACTTTTGTAACTATTTTTCATGATGTTCTAGCAGTTGAGCATCTCTACTCTCATTTTTACACATATTTCTCTTAATCTCGCAAACGTTCGCTATGCAAAAACTGAAATTAGATCAATTTCCTAAAGAAAGTAGCTAAAACGCAAAAGTAAAACTTTCAAAAATTCTTTATTAGTTTTCGTAAATGTTTTTCTATTAGAATCAATTTGTGAGGTATCGAATTACCGTATCAAGTTACCTCATATGGTTAGGACGTAAATGTAAGTAAACATAACTGCTGTTACTGAGGCTTAACAGCAGCACCTGATAACGCAAGATCGATCCCTACCCTTGGCGTTCACTCCTTTTCCTTTACAAGTTTCACCGTGTCTACGGAAAAATGCGTAGCGTTCAAGGCAAAAAGCCGAAGAAATATAAAATACTCCTAGTCTAAACAAAATCTAACGAACTTTTACTGGTTTCATTTAATTTACCCGGTAAACTTAACGTAACAATAACTGTTAATATTAATTTCAACATTATCCTTCCTTCTCTTGTTGCATGTATATATGAATTTGAAACTCATATTTTCCTTTTAATTTATACCACAACAGTTCTTTATCACTTAGGCAAAATGCGATCAAGCGCCAGAAAGACAGAGAATTTGTTTTTCTCATTTGAATACAGAATACCAGACCAATCCGACAAGCATAAGAAGTGTAGTTTTGAAAATGTCTCAAAAACAACGATAAAAAAGAAATATACAAAAAGCTTTCTTGATGTAAAAGAAAGAAATTGTTGTGGTTCTACTAGCCAGCGGCGTCGTCCACTATGAAAATGAAATATCTGTAACCAATCTAATCAGAAGGAAAAAACAAAAGGAAAAAATAACGCATACATATGTGTGATGTGTGTACAATCATTGAGTGACCATGCGTACAGCAGTTTCAAAAATAAAAGAAAGCATTACTAACAACTGACTTTATAAATCTTGTGTAAAAAGTTCGATTTTCTCGTTTTTCAATTTATTGTTATGCGAAAATCAATTATTTATGGAAATTAGGTTTTCTTCTAATTTTACTAGACGAGATGGTTTTATTTTAGTTTTCTTAGATAATCAGATGTGCTCTATGAAATGCACATATTTTCAACGGTCTCCACGATATTTCGTGCTTCTGTGATTTAACTATATTTCTTTAACGAGAAAAATCACATTATTTGGATATCTATTTCTGCGAATTAATCCTTTTGAAACTATAATATTGCGACAGAGGAGAGTCTTCGAGTCTATCTCAAGCTGAATGAACAGAACAATTCGAGGACGTCCTTATCACAAATAGCTCTTATATTTTCCAATAGACTGTTGGTAGTTCTGAAAAACAAGGAGGCCGTTCTTTGCACATTTAGGATACACGACAATATAAATAAGTACCGAAAGGAGTGTAAGAACTTTAACCTTTTGAACTCAAAAAATTGAACCCTTTGAACTTTTGAAAAAACTGCGCGAAGTTTTGATGTTTTTTTGAGTCTCCCTTCCTTTTTGATCATTTAGAACCGATTAAATTGTTCTGAAAATTGTAAATTGTACCACGACTTTACAATGAAAGAAGAAATCGCCACTTCGAAACTAACTTAGAAGTGTTTGAAAATGTTTGACGTGGCGCTGAAATTAAAGAAATAGTGCTAGAAAATCCGAAATACTGCCTGATATTTGAAAAGCAAGTAAGATAATTAATGTCCCTCCTTACTTGTACAATGTAAAGAATGTAATCGACCCAATAAGCAGATTACCGTAAAACTTTGTGATGCGAGTCTTAATATCCTCCTGGAAGTTGAGAAGCTCGTTTTTCATATTTATCTGTGTGTTCATAGTTGCGTTACGAACTAACGCATAATGAATAATTGTTTAGCACGAAAAGTTTTGCTGCATGAAAAGGCCGAAGGATTTTGCCTTTACAGACAAGGGTGTTAATGATGAAAAACAGTTTTTTTTTTGAGAAAGCATATTTGTAGATAATACGGTGCTTTAGTTTGCAGATGCTAGTTTGCATCATCAAAACAGCTGAGGAATTTTTCGCGCATTTTAAAACCAAGACGTTCAGCTGATTTTAAATAATCTTTGTCTACAAAATCTGTCGTTAGCCCTTGGAATGAGGAGGGTGCCAATTTTTTGCTTATCTCCTTTCGTTGTAGCTTAAGTAAGGTGCTGCTAATTCAAAAACCAAGTGGAAAAGCTTTTGAATTTGTAAACGCATATTCTGATTTTCATCAGACGCTGCTAATCACGAATCTGACCTTATTTTTTCGATTTGACAAGTTATCAGGATTAACTGTGTTGCTGTGCCGGATTGCCGGATCTGTGTTGCTTGTCGTGCCTTAACGCTGTCTTTCTCGAAGGAAACCACCTGACGAGCCCGTTGAGAAAGGTTGAAACCGGTCGTGGTATCTTCTTTTAATTCTTTCAGAAATGAGTTCTATCTGAGTCTCTAGTAACTGTAAAGCGGTTGCAAAATTACTAAACATAATTATTCTTAAGTCGAGTTTCACATTCATATAGGCAGAAAAGTGAAGTTCCTGTAGAGGAAGTTTATAAATATGGAGATGGAAGTATTGGCAATCTCGTCAAACCTCTTTTGATGATACACAAATAGGTGTTCCTAATTC